TTAGGACATACCTATATTGTATCCAAGACTCAGTTTCTCCACACCCATTCTTCATTTGTTGAATGGCTTTTCTCATGCACTAGAACACTAGTTGAGGAGGGAAACTTAACCCTTTATCATCAAGCATTAAGTTCTACTTTTCTGAAATAGTATGGTTACCAAAGCTATCACTTAGATGGAAAATCTACTGACAGCTTTGAAAGAACCCAGTGACATTAAAATAAGGCTTTAGGTACAAAATGTTCAATTCAAAGTTGCATGTTCCTTGCGTAGTTTTGTTTGAGAGTCTGAAACCAAGGAAAACAACTATGAAAATTAAAATCAACTTGCTCTACATATCTGGATTATGTTCGGCCAAATGTTGATAACATCTTGGAGAAAAATGTAAATATGACAGAGTTTGTTTTTCAGTCAATAAGTCTTGATAAAAGCCTTGAATCGCTACCAACCAAAAACGGTTTTTAATTTGAAGCTGGGGTCGACAAACTTTTTCTATAAAGGAACAGTTAGTAAATATTTTTAAGCTTTGTAGAACACATATGGTCTCGGTTGCATATTCTTCTTTGTTTTAGTCTGTAATAACCCTTTAGAAACGTTAACAAGCATTCTTTGCTTATCAATGGCACAAAAGCTGCAAGCCACATTTGGCCTAGGGGCTGTAGTTTGCCAAGCCCTGATTTTAGGACAAGTGAATCCAAGGGGGAAAAGAATGCAACGTTACAGAACACAAAGTGGAAAAGTGCTCTGATGAGACCAGGCCTCGACAATTAACCAGCACACTGCTATTAACATGATTTCATTAGGTATTTTGCACATGGAAGGAATTTTAATGACAGGATGCACTTTGATCTCCCAACCTGAAACTATGGACACAAAGAAAGGGCAAAGGACGGCTATAATGTGCTGAGTTATCCCAGCAGAAATTCCTCACAGAAAAGCATATGTGCAAAATCGAATTCCTCCCCGAAAAAGGCAGTGACTTGGATTTATGGAGATGATCAGACTGATCAAAAATAGCAGCAGCTCGGCTGTGAAAAGTGACACAGACTTGAACTCGGGGCTTCGCTAGAAGCTCTGCTACTCCCAGCTTTGTGATCTTGACACTGTCAACTTAACCTCCGTGCTCCTATTTACAAAACTGGGGCAAGGGTACAAAGTAGGTAATTTCTAACTCTTTCTGCTGTCAAACTATGACTATACTAAATAATGGAACCACTCAGGAAATACCCTAACAGGAAGAAGGGGGGAGGGCAGGAGAGAGACAGCAGAGGGAAGACGCTCACGCTGTCCAGTTAAAGGACAGAGCTCCGTTTTCTCTTTCCGTTCTTTGAGTACCTTGCTCAGGACAGGCCAAGGTATCGGTATGGCCTCATATGGATATTAAACTGTACCCACTCCCACAGGAATCAGAATGCATAACCGACTGTATTACTGTTTCCTAATTGTCTTAATGTCACATTTTACAGACATTTAATTAAACATTAATTATGATTACGTAACATGTCTGGGGGAGCTAATCGAAAAACTTTTTTCAGTCCTCAAACATCTGAACTGAAAGGCTGGTTGGTCCTAGGCACTGGGCCTATATTTCAAATGGATAAAACATCCCTACTCACTAGTCAACAAATATTATCTGACTGATACACTGAAAAGGTTCCCAATAGGTCAGGTGAAATATATGTACCCTCCACCACCCCCAAGAGCAGAAAGGAAACGAGGGGAGCCGCGAAATCAGAGAAGGTAGTGGGACTGTAGAGAAGGAAGAACAAAGTTCTTGCGAGACAACTGGATCTGTAATCAAAACGACTGTCTCCTTCCTGTCATGATGGCCAAACCACTGTCACACAGATCAAAGGATGGCAGATGCCTTTTTAAAAAAATGACTTCAACTTTGACAAAGCAAAATTAAGACTTAACGTGTATCCTCACGGGGAAAAACAAGCACACATACAAAGCTACCACACACACCTCAGGCGTTAAGAAATGGCTCTTTCCTGTGAGGGTGACCTTATCACATTTTGTCAGCGAGGCTGTGGCAGAACCTGTCAAAACCCAGTCAGAGGAGCCCAGGAACTTACACAGCTGGGTACCTCAAAAAATAATTATGACTCGAAGGAGAGAGACCACCAACTCTTACCTCAACAACTTCAGTTCACCAGAGGATGGGGGAGGAGGTTGGGGGGCGGAGGGGACTGGATATGGCTGCCAGAGACGTGGACGCTCCAAGCTGACGTTTGTGGTTAGTGAAGAATGTCTGGAACTTTTTTCACTAGAATGGTGTTAACATTCACCTTCTTTTCCCAGCTTAATTTCAAGTGCAAAGCATTAGGCTTCAGGTATATTAAATTTTTCTGCAGTTTGAAGGCAGTGTGATACCACTTCCTGTCAGGCTCTGGGGCTAAGTAAGAGGCATGGATTTCCCCTCCCCCACGTCAACTGAAGACACGGCTCAGAGCCTCTTGTAACCACATCCACCCCACAGAAAATATAAAGACCAAGGTCACATATGAGACTCACCCCATTTAATGTCTCCCTTCTGTTCTACAGTTTCAGGACACTGGTTTTCCTGCCTTCATGGCTGCAACCCTTCACCGAACCAATTGCGGTAAAAAAAATCCACACAAGAGTCTAAGCCGTCAACATGAAAAGTAAATTTTAAAAGCTACTATCACAAAAGGAAGCAGATACCCTTACAGGAAATGTGGAATGAAATACAGGGCAAAAAAAAAGGGGGAAGGGGTTAATAAAGCCATTAATAATGAGCAAAAGTCATCCAAGATGCTTAGCAGAAACAGCATCGGCAAGATTTGTTCACTTTCGACACAGAGAATGCTTCTGGGAGGGTCACACAGAGAATGGACAAAAGGCTACCCACTCTACTTGTTAGAAATTGTCCTTTACCATCTGGACTGCACTATGAATTCAACAATAAAAAAGGTTTATTTGGGGTTTTGAAATTAGTACCAGGATCAAAAACTACTGTCCTCTGGTTGCTGTGACAGCTCCCACCAAAACTCTTGGGAATATACTTGAGACATGACATTTAAAATCTGCTTCCTCAGAAAAGAAAAAGTCCCACTCAAGAATGACTGCCAAGAACTTGCAACTCAAACTTCCCTAAGCCCAGACATCATAACACGGGGGGGGGGCGGCGGGTCAGAGCACTCAATCCATATGAAAGAGGCCAGAACAAACAAACAAACAAACCATAGACTTTCCTAGTTCTTACTTTTAAGAGCACTCCATAGTCAAACATTCCTTTTTTAATGGTAAATTATCCTTAAAACATACAATATTCACATACAATTATTACCATAGCTCTAGCCCCATAAGAACCCCAGAAGTTTGTGTTGAGATATGCTGTAAGAACCATGTGAAAGGTGCTTAAGTGAGCTACTATTAGAAACCATAAACATCACCCAGACAACCAAAAGCTAAGATTCTTAAGGTGCTTAATTAACTGCAGCTATTTAACAAAGGAAATGATGTTAAGGTCACTTGTATAGGTAGCTTAAAGCCAGCTTTGGGGCGCCTGGGTGGCTCAGTCGGTTACGTGTCTGACTCTTGATTTTGGCTCGGGTCATGATCTCACGGTTGGTGGGTACACACTGACAGTGCAGAGCCTGCTTAAGATTCTCTTTCCCTCTCTCTCTGCCCCTCCTGAGCACACTCTCTCCCTCAATATAATAAATAAATTAAAAAAAAGAAAAAAAACCACCAGCTTTGAGTTGCTCTTCAGCTTAAGTTAAGAGATCTCTTTACCTGAACACAGTCTTGCCAGTACACAAGTAGAAAGGACAGCTCCCAGCCAAGATCAGGAAAAACTGAATCAATCAAAAGTTATTGGGGGATACACTGCATGTTGTGATTCATTCAGCAAGTAACAATTAGAACCAAAGCAAAATGCATAGGGAGGCAGGCAGAATATAAGATCAATTCCTCTGCCGAGACGTTACTAAACACCCAAGCCCAAGCATTTAAAAAGTTGAGACGTGGTGCTTCTCAGGAGATGGGAGTAAAGGAGCGAACCCTATTTTCCTGACCACACCATTCCCAAGAGTCACCAGTTCTCTTAACACCCGTTAACACTCACACAACAATTTAATATTCTGTAGGCATTACTCTACCATTAGTCACTTTTTGCTCTTTCTCTCGCACTTGATTCAAAGGAAGAAGAGGGAGAACATGGTAACCACTGTTTTCGGTTACTGCAGAAAGTGTGTGCCCCGCACTTTCCATTTCCCCTCCCTTTCCCATTTTCTCCCTCTGCTCTGTACAGCCCTTACTGTAGATTCCGCTTCCCCTTTTGCATCCTGTCTCACACCCAGCTCTCCTTTACTTTCTCCACCACCTATGCTCACTCGGTCCTCCGCTCCCCTGAACTCTTCTCCCCATCCTGCAATTCTGTTCTGCCCCTCCCCTGAGGAGAGGTCCAGACCTCCTGTGGCCAAGTGCCCCCAGTCCCGCACCTCCTGATCCCTCATTCCCCTGAATTCCCTTCCGACTGTCGGGTTCTCACCTCTCTTGTCCCCTGTGCCCTCCCTTCTTTTACTTCACGTCGCTCCTATTCCTCCCAAAGCTTCATTTCCCCCTTCACATTTCCTTCCTCTTTCCTGTCTTTTAATCCATTTCACACCCACTATCCCCTTCTCTTTCTCCATGAGATCTCGTTAGTCCCCACCACCACCACTTTGTCCTGCTAAGACCCTTCCCTGTCACTCCCCAACCCTCTCATTTCCCCCCAATACCCCTAGTCCTTGTTCTCTGGTTCCCCCTTCCTTTGCCCCCAAGTTCCCTCTTCACCTCCCCCCATCCCAGCCTCACGTACCCGCCCGCCCCTCTCCCTCACTCCTTCATCCTCTTCCACTGCCCTCGCCGCCCGGCTGTCCCCGGGGTCCCCTTCCTGGGGCTCCCAAGCCCTCCTCCAGCCCTCTCCCCGGCCGCCTTGCATTCGCCCCCCACATCTCACTAGCCGTCTCCGGCCGCGGCCCCTCCCTCACCGATGGTGGAGATGAAGGTGGTGTTGAAGGCGTCCTCGGAGAAGCGGAATAGGAGGCAAGTCTTGCCCACCCCCGAGTCTCCGATCAGCAGAAGCTTGAACAGATAATCGTACGTCTTCGCCATCTTCTCGCTCCGGCCCTCTGACCGGGGAGCTAGAGAAGCGGCGGAGAGAGGCGGGGAGGGGGCCGCGGGCGAGGGGGCGTGTCCGCCGAGCCACCACCGCTCGCCCCGCCCCGAGACCCGCCCCTTCCCTTGGAGAAGGCCTGCGCGCCCCGCCCCGTGCGGCCAATCCGCGGGAGATTCGTCATCACCGCCTGCGTCCCAGGGCTTGATGGGATTTGTAGTTCCTTTGGGGAGTCTCGGGCGTGCCCCGCGCGGGCTGTCCGAGCAGCCCCAAGGGATAAAAGAGGATCTACTCTGGGCTCGGTAACCGGGTGGATTAGACGTTTCCACCCCTGCCGGGAAGGAAGGCCTCCCTTCGAACTCTGCGCGTCGTGCCTCTGGAACTCAAGTTCACCGTTTTCTTTGTGTGTGGGCGCCTTTCAAATCCGGACCTCGGAATCGGAGTCCCACGACTGCCGTATTTCTCCCGTCCGGACCCGGAGCAGAGATGCTTTCTTTGCTTCCCGCTTCTGCGGCGCAGCCTGTGGATTATCTGCAGAGTGCATTACCTGGCTTGTCCTGCAATTCCTGCCCATCACCACCCCAACCCCCCTCCCGCAGCTCCTCAGTTACAGATCTCGAAAAGAATGACTGCCGTTCTAACTTGAACCCCAGCTGTGTTCTCTTCACACCCCACAGACCAGAGCCCAATACGATAGGTATTTTAGAGGATCTGCTATGCAGACCGCTCCCCTCCCACAAGAGGATGGATTAAAAAAAAAAAAAAAAAAAGTGGGAATTGAAAATATTAAGACTTGTGCTACAGGTCTGTGTCCCATAAAATGAAAAGCATTATGTGAGGCCCAAACTATGACGTTGGGAATCGAGAATGAGATTCGGATTTTGTCTTGGCTCAGCGGCTTAACTGTGCAATCGCTGCGACCCCGTTTTCAAATCTGTAAAATGGGTATAAAACAAGCATTTCACAGGGTTGTAGAGAAAATTAAATGAAATACTTAATATGAAAGCACTGTGAAATCCATAGGCAGTGCAGAAATGTTTAAGGTGATAGTTACCTTCTGCATGGATGACGAAGGGGGGGCTGGGGGGTGCATTCAGTCATCATTGTAATCCTTTATTTACTGTTTTAGACTATTCTTTAATTGTTTTGTGGATGTATTGTTAAGGTCTCTTTCTTTGCTACTGGCAGAAACCCAAGCAGAACAAGTTCTCCCGGAAGGGAAGTTTCTTGTCTCAAATAAAGCCAAAGGGCAAGGAATGGCTAAGGAGGTCTAAGACCAGAAACTATCCAGTCAGAGCTCTGTCTCCCGACTCTTCTCCCTTCTCAGTTTTAATTTCTAATATGTCAAATACCGACAGATAAGACTCACATGAACAAAAGCTCTTCAGAGTCCTCAATATTTTTTTTTTATTTTAAAGAGAGAGGGGAGAGGGGCAGAGGGAGAGAGAATCTTAAGCAGGCTCAACGCTCAGAGAGAGATGCAGGGCTTGATCCCAAACCCTGGGATGGAGATCTGAGCCGAAATCAAGAGTTGGGCAATCAACTGACTGAGCCCCCAGGAGCCCCACTTCAGTAATTTTTAAGAGGATAAAGGGGTCCTGAGGCCAAAATATTGGAGAACAACTGGCCTAGGCATTTACCTTCGATTTAAGGAAACACCTTCTGGAAGGTTAGAGGGGGTTATGAAGGAAACCAGTGGGCTCACCATTAGTGGAATAAAGAAAACACTTGAGACAGTTAAACAAGATGGCGGGCCTGCCTGCCTGCCTGCCTGCCTTCCTCCCTCCCTCCCTCCCTTCCTTCCTTCCTCCTTCCCTCCCTCCCTCCCTTCCTTCCTCCCTCCCTCCCTTCCTTCCTTCCTTCGTTTATTTATTTTTGAGAGAAGGAGGGAGGGAAAGGCAGAGAGAGGGAGACAGAGAACCCAAAGAAGGCTCTGAGTTACCAGAGCAAAGCCTGACGCGGGGCTCCAACCCCACTCCAACTGTGAGATCATGACCTAAGCCTGAGGAGGACACTCATCCCATTAAGCCACCAGGCGCCCTGACAGCCGGCTTTTCTGAAACACCTTGAGTGAATCGTGACTTCATGTACAGTGTCAGTGATATTCTATTCTTAGTCTTGTGGCAGAAGATTCAGTTGGTCTTAGTACTGGCCTTCACCTTCTATGTGGAAAACAGATGAAATGTGTCATTAACTCACACTTATTGGTAATACAGTACCTAGAGAGTTGCTGCTAATAAAATGTCTAATTCCTAGAGCCTACTTGATGGAAACAAAGCTTTAAGGAGGTCAGTGTCAATTTCTGCCCCCTTCAGGGAAGGGCTCTGCCCTCTGGCATGGACTGAACCTCCTTGCCCTAGTCAGTTCTTGGGCAAGTGTGAATTTGGCCTCAACCAGGGCTGAACAAGTGTGAACAGCTCAGTCTATACCTTCACCTTCATTCTGGGAAAGAAGCAGGAAAAAAAAATCTTCAAAGACCAGTGAAATATCTTTCTTTTATAAAACGGGTACTGATTTAAAATAAAATTTAGCCCTACTATCTGCATGCAACAATTGCCATTCTTTTTCTGTATGAATAAGAACATACTGATGTAGTATAGAAGTTAAGTTCAGAAAAGAAGTTGGGTCCCTGGGTGGCTCAGTTAGGAAAGCATCTGACTCTTGATTCTGGCTCAGGTCATGATCTCACATTGGTGAGATCAAGTTCTGTGCTAGGCATGGAACCTGCTTAAGATTCTCTGTCTCTGTCCTCCTTTGCCCCTCTCCTGCCTGCTCTCTAGGTCTCTAAAGAAAAAAAGAAGGAAAAAAAAGTTAGAGTTAGGAATTTTAAAGTCCCTAAATTTCCTTAGGGGAATTTTGTTAATTGATGGGAATTAAAAAAAAAATTCTGTATTATTTTCACTTCCCCGGTTTTTCTCTATGACCAAGTATATAATATTGGGACTTTCTAGGTGGTAAGTCTGTGCATCACTGTTGAACCATTCACAAATTTTGATATGTGGACTCTATTTCAAGAAGAATCCAAATTTTTCTCTTTATGAATTATTAATTTTTAAATATGTGCAACAATGTTACTTAGAGATGTGGTGGTAGGCACAGCACTATCATACCAAGGGGCACCTGGGTGGTTCAGTCAGTTAAGCATCCGACTTTGGCTCAGGTCATGATCTCACAGTTTGTGGGTTCAAGCCCCATGTCGGACTCTGTGCTGACAGCTCATAAGCCTGGAGCCTGCTTTGGATTCTGCATCTCCCTTTCTCTCTTTGCCCTTCCCCTGCTCACACTCTGACTCTCTCTCTCAAAAATAAATAAGCATTAAAAAAAATTTTTTTTAATCAAGGTACTTTGCTCAAAGGACTCGACAATAAGTGTATTTCTAGAGCTGAGAGTACCACATGTAACTGGTCACTGATTGCCACCTTGCTTGCTTTCTCCCAGTGGCACTGGTGGACCCCCTTCTAAAAACCCATGCTACTATGCTCTGAGGAAAGCACCTCAGTATTTTTTGCCAGTTGCCCAAATCCATCTTTGAAATGCTACATCACTGCAGACACTAGGAAGACCAGCATATTCAATCTGATTCTGTAAATATTTACTGAAAACTTTGATAAGGTTAACATGTACGTGGCAACTTGACTTACAGAAATCTAGATGTCCAAGGAATTTTCTCTGTGGTTTTTGTCAGGCCGACACTCTTTCTTCCTGCTTTTGGTAAGTGCTCCTCCCCCACCGATGGCCGTAAATCATGGTACTCTACTCCTCCAGCCAAAGGGGTGGACATAAGACTGAGCTGGGTCAACCTGAGTTCTTCCCTGTGAATCTTCTGATGACGTGCGGCAATGATACTGAAGGGCGATCTGAATGGTGGGCGGTCTGTGTGAGCTCCAGGCTGGTTTGGATCAGAGCTTTAGATCATTTTCCTGTATTCTCTTGTTGCTGCCCTCCTCTACGTGTTCACTTTGTCCTTGGGCTGGCTCTCCTCAGGACTGCCGTGTTGCACAATTCCAGGGGCATTATGCAAATCTCACACTCTATTCATTTGGAGGATCAAAGGCTCCTAAGAATCTACACATATTCTTGAGGGTCTGTGTGTTCTCTAGGCAAATTTTCAAATTAATTCAAGCATTCTTTAACTGTTTTGAATTGCTCTAAGCACTTGCGCGTAAGAAGAGTTACCTTTCATAACTGCCTCCATGAAACTAAATTTGGCTGAGACCCCTACTTGGCAAGGGCTGACAAAACTGGTATCTATCATTATTGGGGCTTTTCTTCCTCTTAACAATATCCTATACAAATCCAGGAGCTTGCATGGTCCTGAAACATGAGGGGCAAAGCAGCATCTGATCATCTGTGTGCACCCAGCTTGCTGACGCTTCTGTCCAAGCACTCTTGGGTTCTGGTCCTCTGCCATCTGTTGAGCACAGCTGTCCCGGTGGGCTACAAAGATGTCCTTCATGGTGATTATTTTCACTGACTGATGACTCAGCCATTGAATAAGTTCTCTCTCTGTTATCTAATAGTTTGTGTACTTCTTTGTCCTCTCCCTTACAACTTGAGCTCTCTGAGGAAAAGGACATTTCTAATTTCTCACTGTATACCCCAGTAGGTACTCAATTAAGTTGTCAAAATAAATGAATGAACATCTGATTATCATGCCAGTTTTCTAGTTTTTTTAAACAGCTGGTTCACCTTCAGTTTATTATTTGCTATAAGACTTGAGTATTTTTGGCATCACAAATACTCTTCAGGCTGTACTTTATATGTTATTCGTTCATATTATAAGTATAATGTTCATTGTTGTGTTTAAGAAATCAGTGTGATTGTATCTTACTTCTCTAGCTTGTCAAGATCATTTTGAATGATAATCTCTCAAGAATACCAATTCCTCTTACCACCTGTGTGTCATCCAAAAACATGCTATTTGTTTAGTGATATCCCAGTGGGATAATTCTATAATTATCTTCATCAGAGAGACAAACTGTACCCTTTCCACCCACTGATGTTTCCTGAGCAATCATGGGGCAAATAATGTCCATTCAAACAAATATCCATTAAGCTCACTCTATGAAACCAGCTCAGCAAGGCCACTTGGAGAATACAAAGGGTT